CTACACGGAGCAGAAAACAAGTTTGATCCGAGCATCGAACGCCACCAACATCCCTTCTTGCGGAGATCACATAGCAGCAGCATAGCACCGCACAAACGTACATAGCCAAGATGGTAAGTATACCCTTCGGAGTCCTCGTACTGGCACCCTGGCTCGGATGTACAAGTTCAACGTCAAGCTGACGACTTCGTGCCTTGGATTCGCTTCGTTTCCTCGCCGCCTTCTCACAGTCTACACCATCAAAGAAGCGACTCATCCGAGACTTTAAGCGGCTATCTACCGATCCGCCTGGAGGAATCTCTGGCGCACCATGCGCAGACAACCTCATGATCTGGAACGCAGTCATCTTCGGCCCCGCCGACACCCCTTTCGAAGATGGCACTTTCAAACTCGTCTTGACTTTTGACGAATCTTACCCGAACAAGCCCCCCACAGTCAAGTTCTTGAGCAAGATGTTCCACCCCAACGTTTACGCAAACGGAGAGCTGTGTCTGGATATCTTGCAAAACAGGTGGTCGCCGACCTACGACGTAGCCGCCATTCTGACCAGCATCCAGAGTCTTTTGCACGACCCGAACCCGAATAGTCCAGCAAATGCCGAGGCGGCAAGCTTGTATAGGGAGAATATGAAGGAGTATGTCAGGAGGGTCAAGGCGACTGTGGAGGCGAGTTGGTTGGATGATGGAGAGGGGCCAGAGCCTATCCCTGAGGAAGACGAGGAGGCGCCCGCAGCAGCAGCAGCGGCCTCATCGTAATCGCTCGCAGATAGTCCCGTCACTGACATTGCGCCATCCAAGCCTTTCCTCCTTCTCCATCACAAGTCTCTACCCAACTCCATCGGCACCTTTTCATCCGCCCCTCTCGCATGCCTCTTGACGCCCGCCTTGCGACTCCCACACCTGCATTATTGTCTCCTTTGTTCTCTCTCGACGTCTCTGGTCTCTGTCTCGTGCATTCAAAGTCTGCCTCGTTATGTACATCATTCCGTCCTCTCTATATTCTTCTTTGCAGCTGAGAGTTGTTTATTTGATCGTTCACATCCAGTTCTTGTCTGACCCGACTTTGTGAGTTAGAGTGCTTTGGTTTGACGTGATCGTCTGTTCACTCGCTGTGCTGAGTAAAACGGCGAACAAGCAGTTCCCCAACTCCAAGTCTTTCTTTTCCTCTCTCTCTCTCTCTCTTCACATCTCTCGCGCTTCCTCTTGAGGCAACCCAATCATCACTCCAATCCGACACTCAATTCAAGTGAACAACGAACTTGTAGATTTACACACGCAAACGGAAATTTCTGCGCCCGACACCGGCGCAATGAGTTCTGAGAATACACTGAGATTTCAAAATAAGCGGTGGTAGTGGTGGTGGGTAGTGTGTCTGTATATGCAGAGGCCAACGATGCGATATAAAAAGGTGGAGCCGGAAACGGAAACGAAATAACCAGAACGCAGATCACACAGCACACTTGTTGTCATGATGCACTGTTGAACTGGCTCGTTGGAATTTTATGTCCTTTCTGTTGTATGAACAGAAGGGAAGTGTGGGGATAGTGTGGGAGAGCTGTTATTACAAGAGACGGATGCGGGAAGCTGAGAAAAGAGGCAATGCGAGGTAAGAAGCAACTTAGTTCTTCTTCTCGCCCTCACCCTCAGGCTTGGCCTCCTCAGCGTTGGGGGCGGACTGGCCCTTCTTCTCATAAACGAGCTTGAAGAGCTGGAGCGAAGCCTGCTGGGTGGCGTCGATCTTCTCGCGGATGGTCTGAGCCTCAATGTCGGCGTCGCCGTTGAGACCCTTGGAAGCGAGCTCCTCAGTCTCCTTGATGAGGACGTTGAGCTTCTCCTTCTCCTCGGCAGGGAGCTGTTCGCTGAACTCCTGCATGGCCTTGGTGGTCTCGCTGCAGACCGAGTGGGCACGGTTGGCCTCCTCGATGACAGCCTTGCGGGCCTTGTCAGCCTCGGCGTACTGCTCGGCATCGGCAACCATCTTCTCGATCTCGTTGTCGCTAAGACCGGAACCGGCAGAGATAGTCATGGACTGGTCCTTGTTGGTGGCCTTGTCGAGGGCAGAGACGTGCATGATACCGTCGGCGTCAATGTCAAAGGTAACCTCAACCTGGGGGACACCCTTGGGAGCGGGGGGGATACCGGTAAGCTGGAAGTTGCCGAGCAGCTTGTTGTCACGGACGAGCTCACGCTCACCCTGGTAGACCTGGATGTCGACGGCGGTCTGACCATCAGCAGCGGTGGAGAAGACCTGCGACTTCTTGGTGGGGATGGTGGTGTTGCGGTTGATGAGACGGGTGAAGACACCGCCAAGGGTCTGGATACCGAGCGAGAGAGGGGTGACATCGAGCAGGAGAACGTCGGTAACCTGACCGGAGAGGACACCACCCTGAATCGAGGCACCGATGGCGACAGCCTCGTCGGGGTTGACACCCTTGCTGGGGTCACGCTTGAAGATGTTCTTGACAGTCTCGAGAACCTTGGGCATTCGGCTCATACCACCGACCATGATGACCTCCTGGATGTCCGAGGGCTTGCAGCCGGCGTCAGTGAGAGCCTTCTTGCATGGCTCGACGGTGCGGTCGACGAGCTTGCCAACGAGACCCTCGAGCTGGGCACGAGTCATCTTGGAGTTGATGTGCTTGGGACCCGAAGCGTCAGCGGTGATGTAGGGCAAGCTGATGTCGGTCTGCTGGGTGCTGGAAAGCTCAATCTTGGCCTTCTCGGCGGCCTCACGGATACGCTGGATGGCCATGCGGTCCTTGGAGAGGTCGAGGCCAGACTCCTTCTTGAACTCGTTGACGAGGTGCTCGACGAGAACAATGTCAAAGTCCTCACCACCGAGGTGGGTGTCACCGTTGGTGGACTTGACCTCAAAAACACCCTTCTGCATCTCGAGAATCGAGATATCGAAAGTACCTCCGCCCAAATCGAAGACGGCAATGACCGACGAGTCATCACGGTCGAGACCGTAGGCGAGGGCGGCGGCGGTGGGCTCGTTGATGACACGGAGAACGTCGAGACCAGCGATGGCACCAGCATCCTTGGTAGCCTGACGCTGCGAGTCGTTGAAGTAAGCGGGGACAGTGATAACGGCGTGCTTGACAGTCTTGCCGAGGTAGCCGGAAGCGGTCTCCTTCATCTTTCCGACAATGAAGGCACCAATCTGGGAGGGAGAGTACTTCTCACCTCGGGCCTCGAGCCAGGCATCGCCGTTGGAGTGGGGGACAATCTTGAAGGGAACGTTGTTCAAGTCCTTCTGGACTTCCTTGTCCTGGAACTTTCGGCCAATAAGACGCTTGGTGGCGAAGAGGGTGGCTTCGGGGTTGACGACGGCCTGACGCTTGGCGGGGAGACCAACGAGACGCTCACCGTCCTTAGTGAAGGCAACAACGGAGGGTGTGGTTCGGCCACCTTCCGAGTTCTCAATAACACGGGCCTGCTGGCCCTCCATGACCGAGACACACGAGTTGGTGGCTGTGCGAAGCAAAAGTAAAAAATGCGGCTCCGTGTCAGTAAAGTCGTGCTTTCGTTTTCGACAGAGTGGGAACATTATTTGCGCCGCCACCTGGCCGACCTGGCCCAAATCAAAGCTGCAATGCTGTTGTTTCAAGCCAGACTATCGGATCAGCCGAATGGGCTGATGTAAGAATGGCCTGCTCTTTTGGTGCGAAATACTCACTTCCCAAGTCAATACCGATGACAGGGCCAGAAACCTTGCCAGAGTTGAAACGGGCGCCGAGGGGTGCGAGGCGCTGCAAACACGGAAGAGAGGTCAAGTTTAATGGAAACAAGAGATTGTCAGTGAAACGAGCTCGCCACCGTACAAAACGCATGGTTCTGCTCCAGCCATCGGTGAGATGGACTGGTGGCAATGGTCAAGATTGTGCTACTTACGGCAACACCAGGGGCGGCGGAGCGGAGAGGCTGGAGCCTTGTCGCCGGGGCGGCGGCACGGAGACCACGAGAGAACATGGCTGTGTGATGTATGTGAAGAGGAAGGGGTATGGATACGACGATGAGGAAAGGAAGAAAGAAGGTTGCTACGAATCCCCGATTGGAATTAGCAAGTGCAAAGGGATGGACGCAAACAGTGGTGGTGACGGGTAATGTGTGGTAAGAGAGTGTGTGAGTTTGACGAATAAGAAGGAAGGAAAATGCGGGTGGAGTTGAACTCGAGATGCGGGCGGACGGGCAACAGTCACACTTTCTACTGTAATTGCTCAGTTACGCTGCCAACGAAGAAAAGGAAGAAAGTGGAATTGATCGGGTTGCGATCAAGCCAGCGGATTGGCCTGGAAGTGGCCACCGGAACGCAAAGGCTTTCTTGGCTCAGCCGGTTCCAAAAAAAAAAAAAAAAAAAAACACAGCCAGCCAGACGTTTCTTCTTCCTTCTTTCTAAGTTATTCGCGATCAGCCAGCCTGAGCCCAAAAAAATCTTCTTCGCTTGACTCAGCTCAGCAAGGTCTACTCCACTTGTACCTAGAGCAGTGACACCTCTTAACGGTTCTCTCGTCATTCTCGCTCAGCCAGATTTCGCTCTGTATCGCAACGGTCTTGTTCATCACTTGCTGAGCTCGGTGTCGCTGGCTGGCACCGGAAGGCGATTGACTGCTCTTCGGACACAGCGGTCGAAATGAGCCGGTATGCGGAGCCAAGAGCCAATTTCACGCTGTGGTGTCCAGTGACGCCGCGCTCTGCTAAGCCAGCATAAAGTGACGAGCCTTTTGCAGCCTCTTTTTGGTGCCGGCTTTTCCAAAAAAATCATTTTTTTCGCCTCTTTCTTCTCAACCTCAAGTTCGCGTACAGTTCCAGATTCTTCCTCGACCTTCGCTGAAAAAAGGCGGGACGACTCATCGGTCAATTTCGTGTCGATTCATCCGCGCCGACCCGATGTGATCCCAACACGCGACCTCCTCATCTCACCGTCGAATAGACAGTCATCGCTCCACCGATGAGGACGGATCGCCTCCCGATCGGTGCCTGATCGCATCGAAAAATAAATGCTCCGGGTGGGACTCGAACCCACGATCTCGCGGTTTAGTAGAAATTGCTTTCTGCGATAAAACCCAATGATCTCTGAGAGCAACTGCACGGTCGCCTGAGAAACATAAGCCACATGCCTTAATCCAACTTGGCCACCGGAGCGAACGTTTTCGGGCGAGAAAGTGGTATTGTACATATATACCGTTGCAGGCAAACGGCTACTTTTTTCATCGTAAAAACTCCCAGAGCGGACCGTTGCTCCAATTTGGTCATGTCAAGCGTGCTGTCCATTGGCCAACTCGACGAAAGGTCTCAGGAGGAGACACCGAGGTCGATCCGCGGTGGTCTTGCGATAGTGACAGTCAAAAGTATCGCACATTCGAAGCAAAACAGATACAAGAAGAAGAACAAATACACAAAGACATGAGTGGGGCGTAGGTTGCAAATAAGGTGTGGACAAGTGTATGTGCTACAGGTTGGCTGCTACAGGTCGGTGCTGATGCAAAACCATCGAGAATCAGCAATAGCGACGTTTACAAAGATGGTCGCTAGTAGTGGCTGTGGATGGAAGAGATGATGAGCGACCGCTTTTAGTGAGAGTCATGGAACGGATCCGAGCTGGCAAAGTGGATATGGCGATTACTCGGACTTGTCCTCAGACTCAGACTCGGCCTCCACCGAGGCCTTCTTCTCGGCACGTGGGCTCGAGGCGCCAAAGACGGGGGCGGGGCTCCAGCCCGAGGTGAAGTTTTGCTTGGATGGCGTCGAGACGGTCTCGGCAGTGACGGCGGCCGAGGTGTCGATGGCTGTCAGCTTTGGCTCTTCTGCCGAGGCGGGGGCAGCGGAGGCCTCTTCGGTGGCAGAGGGGGTGGCGGATGACTCGGGGCTCTGGGACGAGGTGGAGGCGGGAGCATTGGGGGTGACCATGACACCGGTCTCGTTGAGGCTGGTGGCGGAGAGAGTGTCCCATTCTTGGCTCGAGGTAGTACCGCTGTCGGTGCCCTGAGGTGCTGAAGCAGCAGCGGAAGATGTGTTGGCGGATGCGGATGTAGAGGCCTCCTTGTCCTTGCTAGTGGCAGTCTCGTCCTTCTTCTCTTCGTCGTCTTCCTCGTTCTCGTCCTCAGCCTGAGCGGCAGAGAAGGGCGACGGGCCATCGTCATCCACCTCATCCAGGCTAGCAGCCGACATGCCCTCTGCACCCTCACCACCACCGGTCGCGATATCCTTGCTAACGATGCGCATGATTGTGTCAAACACCTCCTTGGGAACGGCCTTCTGGTAGATCATGATGAGCTCCACAGGCTGAGGGTACACCTTCAACGCCTTGAAGAAGGCGGCCGCCGCCTCGAGGTATTTTTCGGGGCCCATGGCAAACAGCTGCTCACCAGCCGAGACGTACTTGAGGAAGTACTGCTCGCGCTCCTCGACACCGGCAGGGAAAGTGCCAGGTGCACGAACCTCTGCCAAAAGCTCCTGAATGAAGCCATCCTCCTGCTGGGCTCGCTGTGCGGCAGCCTTCTTGTCGGCCTTGGACGACTTTTTGCTTTCCTTGCGCAGGCTCTTGCGGAAGGCAGGGTCGGTGCGACGACGGTGGTCAAAGTAGAGGGCGTAACCAACACCTGCCACTCCGAGCACGGAGAGCGAAGTGAGAACGATCTGCGAAGTCTTCATCTTGCAATACCTTGGGCGTATTAGGACAAAGGTGTAGAGATCGAAGATCAGTTGTCGAATGCGTAAAGGATGGTGATGATGATGATGATGATGATGATGATGAAAGGGAATACAAGATGTCTCCACTGCGGAACAGGACTGGATGATGCGTTCATCTGCGCAGCGCCTTGCGATCCGGCTCCATTTCCTCTCCTTGTGCACCTCGCGAAAAGATCGCTTGCTCCTGTGGCTTTTTTTGGTGATTTGTGGCACAGGGTTAGCAGAGAGCGAGAGAGACACACAGAGAGAGAGAGAGAGAGAGATGTGGAGCGTTCTCGCCGATGCAGCAGCAGCAGTCTGTCCCTACACAACCTCTCTCTCTCACACAATTTTCTTCCAAAATTTTGAAATTTTACGTGCGGGCAAAGCCGTCTGCTGTGCTGCCAAAGTCAAGCAGCGAGGTGGACCCTGTCGAGGAAATTGGCTTAAGCTTTCATGTCAAGTGCCACCAGTTCATGAAGCCCGCCTCTCTTTCTCCTTCAACAACACAATACATCGATATACGACATGTCACGAACAAAGAAGAGCAAGTCAGGAGTCAAGGCGCAACAGGTCGCTGCTGCTGCTGCTGCCGCAACCGCCACCGCCGCTGCTGCTGAGGCTGCTCCTGCCGCTGAGGGTGCTAATGTCGAAGCTTCCAACGACGCTGCCGCTGGCACCGACGCTCCTGCCAAAAAGGGCAAGCTCATCCGACCCAGAGGCAAGCGCGGAGGTGTCAAGCACAAGAAGGGCGGAGTCGCTGTCAAGCAGGCCGCTGCTAAAGAAGCACGCAAGGTCAAGGCCACTGCCACTGCTGCTGCCAAATCGTCTAACGGTGCCCACGCCCAAGACGACTCTGGAACCAACACGGCACCCGTCCCTCCTGCTGAGCACGCCGAGAAGATTGCAAAGTTCCACACCCTTCTCAAGCAGCTCGAGCAGGCCAAGACGGCCGAGGAAAAGGACGAGATCCAAGCCGGCCTCGACTCGCTCGGTGGTCTTGCCCAATACCAAGCTTGGTCTCTGACCGGTTCTGCCAAGTCGGGCCAGACACCCACCAGCAAGTGGTGCATGGAAGCTCTCAAGGACGTCTACGAGCACGACCGCAACTTGCCCAAATTCCGCGTTCTCGATGTGGGAGCCATTACCGGCACCGCATACTCCAAGTACCGCTGGGTAGACGCTACCTACATCGACTTGCACCCACAAGGCGACAATGTCCAGAAATATAGCTTCTTCGACTATCCACTCCCCACCAAACCCGAAGAACAGTTCAACATGGTCGCCTTGAGTCTCGTCATCAACTTTGTCGGAGATGTACGAAAGAGGGGCGAGATGCTTCGCCACGTCCACAAGTATCTACCCGAGAACGATGACGTGCCAGGATTCTGCTTCCTCGTCTTGCCCTTGAGCTGCTTGACCAACTCGAGGTACATGAACCAGTCGCATCTGCGAGCTATCCTCAGCTCGCTTGGGTTCAACGTCTTGAAGCAGTCCGACTCGGCAAAGCTCTCCAGGTGGTTGCTGCAACGCAAACCTCTAGCAGAGCGAAAGCAGGCTGCAGAGGCCTCCGAGGCCCCAAATGCGGCTCACGACTGGGATGGCACCGTGTTCAAGAAGCGTGAACTCAACCCCGGCAACGACAGGAACAACTTTGCCATCGTCGTCGATCCCAAGCCCGAGTAATCGCTTTCCGTCTATTCGGCACCGAACCGTCGTCGATCGATCGCAGCAGCGTCATAACATGTTCATACCTCATTTTATCTGTACTTTTAGTCAATCTCAATAGAGCAATGCTTCAAGCGTCTTTATTAGTTCAATGCGTGGTGATATGCGAAAGTGAAGACAAGAGCGTTGGTTGAGCCCTCGGTGTTTAGGTCATCGAGTACTTGGGTCCTCCACCGCCTTCGGGGACGTCCCATCGGATGCTCTGGTCCGGAGTCTTGATGGAGCACGTGTAGCAGTGAATGCAGTTTTGGCTGTTGATGACGAGCTTCTTGCCCAATGCATCCTCCTGCTCGGGGGTATCCGCCTCGACGTACTCGTACACACCAGCCGGGCAGCATCGGCCAAGTGGGCCCTCAAAGGTGCCCACGTTCCTCTCGACGTGACCCTTGTAGTCGCCGTCCTTGACGACGAGGTGGACAGGCTGGTCCTCTGCATGGTTGGTTCCCGTCCTCGAGACCGAGGTCAAGATGTCAAACGAAAGCTTGCCATCCGGCTTGGGGTACTCGATGGGCTCGCACTGCGACGCAGGCTTGGTCTGCGCGTAGTCCTCACCGGGATGGTGGAATGTCCAAGGAACACGACCCTTGAGGATCATCGAGTCGAGACCGGAGTAGGCCAGACCGCCCCAGAAGCCAAGGGGACCGTGGAACGAGGGTCGCAGGTTGCGTACCTCGTAGAGCTCCTTCATGACGTACGTGTCGTCCAGTCTTGTCTTGTAGTCGGCAAGATCAATGGTCTCCTCGGAGCCAGACTCGGCTCGCTTGGCGAGGGCATCGACGACGGCCTCGGCGGCTACCATGCCGGACTTCATGGCGTTGTGAGTACCCTTGATCTTGGGAACGTTGAGGAAACCGGCAGCACATCCAACAAGCGCACCACCAGGGAAGTGCAGCTTGGGGATCGACTGGTAGCCACCTTCGTTGAGCGTCCTGGCACCGTAGGCGAGGCACTCACCACCCTCGAGGATGTCCTTGAACAAGGGGTGGTGCTTCATGCGCTGGAACTCGCGGAAGGGGCTCAGGTAGGGGTTCCCATAGTCGAGACCGACGACCAGTCCGATCGAAACCATATTGTCTTCCATGTGGTACATCCAGCTTCCACCGTAGGTGCTGGTGTCGAGGGGCCAGCCCATGGTGTGCGTGACGAGACCAGCCTGGTGCTTCTCGGGCTTGACACGCCACACCTCCTTGACGCCGAGACCGTAGGTCTGTGCATCAGCACCGACGGCATCACGTAGGCCGAGCTGCTTGATCATCTTCTGGGTCATGGAGCCGTGAGCACCCTCAGCAAAAAGGGTGATGGGAGCGTGGAACTCCATACCGGGCTCGAACGAGTCCTTGGGCTTGCGCGACTTGTCGAGACCGATTTCGTTGGTGATGACACCCTTGATTCCAATGGGCTTGCCACTATCGTCCATCTGCCACAACGGCTGGGCAGCGGCGAAGCCAGGGTAGATTTCGACTCCAGCAGCCTCGGCCTGCTCACCGAGCCACGAGACGACACGGGAGAGCGAGACAATGTAGTTGCCCTTGTTGGACATCTGTGGCGGATGCGGCATGGGGAAGGATCCGGTAGGTGTGAGGAAGCGCATCTGGTCTTCGAGAGCGGGCTGATTGAGGGGAGCGCCGAGCTCCTTCCAGTCGGGAAGAAGCTCATCGAGGGCATTGGTCTGGATCACGGCACCCGAGAGAATGTGGTTTCCGACTTCGGGACCCTTCTCGAGTACGACAACGCGAATCTCCTCG